CAGAGGCATCTCGTACATGGCCAACCTGGGGGAGGACATCGACACCGACGATGAGGGCGGCAGCGTCGCCCAGCGGCCGAGCCTCCGCAAGCTCCGCACGCGGCTGAGGATGCGCTACACGCAGATTCTGGGCACGAGACGCCTGCGCCGCAGCCGCACCGGCGGCACCACACCCACCACCGTCACTCCGCCCCTGACGCCAACACTGAAGGGCATCGCCGAACGCCGGTCGTCAGTCGCTACGAGCACCACAACGGGGACCTCCGAGGCGAGACGCAGCGAAGGATACCAAGAGGGACCCTGACCCTCATGCCATCCATACCTGTTTTGTGACTGACTTGTGTATGCGCGTGTTTCAATGGCTCGCCCGTCGGGTAGCACCAGGTGAATGTTCGTGGGTGCCTCTCATTGACTCTCAATCAATGTAGTCGGCTATGGTGGGGGGCTGGAAAACGTAGTGAAGAGACGGGGGCGGTGTGTGCAGCTGTAGCAGGCGGCGGTTTTGGTTCAGTCCGCGGCTGAGCCAGTGGTGCGTTTGTGTATGTTGTTTGTGCGTCAGGAAGTGTCTGTGTCTGCGTGCGGGCAGGGCGAGGATGAAGTGTGGAGACAAGGTGCTTCGAAACAAACGACAAGAAGGCAGGATGAAAGAGACAGTTAGCCAGGCAGAAAGGGCAGTTCCCTGCTCACCGTTTTCTGCGACTTATACAGGGCGGGCGTCTCTCTCTCTCTCTCTCTGTGTGTGTGTGTGTGTGTGTGCACGAAGCGTACATGGATACTCCAGAAAACGCTGGATGCTGTGCCTGTCTGCCTGTGTGCATGTCTGTGTGTATGCATGGGAAGGGCTGTGTCAGCAGCCGAGGCGCCAACGACACACATGCATGGCTGCATACGTAGATATAAGTCCCATATCGCCAAGTCGACACATAACGCGCCGTGTATCGTATGGCGCACCTTGAGAGCGAGGCCGGCGGGAAACGTAGTTTTGTGTAATTCATTTACGGGCAGAAAAGAAGCAATGGGCTCTTTTTTGGTACCTTTTGCCGTGGATACTGATCGCACCGTGCTTTAATCGATCTCTATCTGCTGTTTTTGAGAACAGGCAGCCATCGTGTGTTGTCCGTGTTGCCCCTCGTCTTCTCTCTCCGTCCCCTTCCCCCTCTCTCTCTCTCTCTCTCTCGCTCTCTCTCTGAGTGCACACCAGACTGCATGTGTCGATGCGCGTATGGATTGATGGATGGATGGGTCGGTGGGAAATTGACGTGCACAGCGTTAAGTCGACCATGGGTGCGGTAGGTAGGTAGTGATTCCTTTAGTAGCCGACCCGACCCAGTCGCATGGGGCGCGGCGCGTGCACAGGGTGGGAACAGAGGGAGACGTGTGTGTTGGTGTTTGCACTTTTTTTACAGTCCAACTAATGAATGTTCGATGGGTGGACGGATGGATGGATGGATGGATTGATGGATGCATGGGTCTTGGCGACGTGGACACGCCATCATGGGTCTGGCTGCAGCCATCACCCAGCCATTCTAACACGTACACTCACTCTGCCCCATGTACACTGCCCCATTGCAGGCAGGCAGGCAGGCAGGCAGGCAAACGACGGATGAACCAATGTATCGATTGCATCAACTAGGGGCAGTCACCACACGCACACGTGCATCAACAGGCAGGCAGGAAGGCAGGCGAGACAGAAGGGAAATTATCATGAGTGAAGATAGATTTCATAATAACCGCTAGCAGCTGTACGTATGAACACCCATCGACCACCAGCACACTGTATGTACACAATGCATTCGTATAAAACTCTGGCAGACATTCGTTCATTCAAACCGACAAAATCACGTAATAATGCACATGTATCATCCTTCATTCGTTCAGTCAGTCAGTCAGTCAGTCTTCCAGCCAGTCAGCTATCTGTCGATCTGTCGAAAACACCAGTTGGTGTCGGCCGGTCGAAGGTCGTCCTTCCTTTATTTGCCGCTTTTTCCATACATGAGCAATCAATACTATTCATGCAAACAGCACGGACTATACAGGACACATGCACGAGAGGCGGTAGACAAACGATACACATGGGGGAGAAGGGGAAAAGCGAAGGGTTCATTGCCACCAATCGTCGATCCAGCCAGAGACACGTGCAAAAAACACCAGCAGGCGACATCGATCAGTCAGCATGCCCTCAGTCACTTACTGAGATGTCACGCACGCACTCACTCACGTCACCACGCGTGTATAGTGTATGTATCAGTACGTACACTGTACTACTTCCTACATAGATATATAAATACTCACGACATCAATCGGCATTCACACGTCAGCTAGCTGCGCTGCTCACACTCATTCAGACACTCATTCACGCAGTGTCAATCGTTGTGGCGCAGACAGACACACAGACAGACACGCAGACATGCAGCCAAGCATGAAGCAATGAATTGTCTGCCCGGGTCATGACACCCCTCTTCATGGTCATGACATCCCTCTTCCTCTTTTCTCCATGACCATCCCTCCCTCAGTACAACCATGGCTCACCTCGCATCACATTCATCCACACTCATGTATCAGGAGCAGGAGCACTTCCATGCGATCCACGGCTGCGATCGGCTGGCCATTTAAATGCACCCAGACGCTCATGCAGTCACGCAGCCACCAACACCAAGCCTGCCTACCCACCTTCCTACCTACCTTACGTTACCACACCGCCGCCCTTTAGCTGAGACACACATTACACGCCTGTGTGACCGTGCGATGTGTGTACGCATGTGTTTGTATGTATTCATTCGTGTGTGTACGGAAAATGCGAGCCAGATCGAAGGAGAAGCACGAAAAGAAAAAAAGCAGTGCTGCCTTCTCCCCCTCCCCTTTGTACTTGATTTGTCTCATAGCAGCTGCCTTGACTAGCCTCCTGCACGTGAAGTTTGTCCTTGTGCCACGTGCAGGAGGGCTTGCAAGCCCGCTGCCTGCCTGGCTGGGTGCCTGGCTGGCTGGGTGCCTGCCTGGCTGGGTGGCTGTGTTCGTACACGTAAGAAGCAAGGACGTCCGCAAGCAACGAGAGTATCAATCATCCATGCGTCGTGCCTGAGTGAGTGAATGGGTGAATGAACGCATTCGTGGAGTCCATCGCTGCATGGAAGAAACGCCCGCCCAGCCACCCACCCAACCACTCGACGTGTGCGGTAGATGCCATGCACAGACGGCGACCAGACCAACAGACAGACAGATCGACAGACAAAACAGGCGCACCGCCACACGCACGCACGCACGCAAGCACACACACGTACAACTACTACGTACATAAGCACGCATATACACACGCACGATCGCACAAAGATACGGACAGACATATAGACAAGCGGACATACAGAGAGAGAGAGAGAGACATTGTAAAGCCTTACCGGTTGACCGTGGCAAATAAAAATCGCTCACACTCAGCCACGAAGATAAGGGCCACAAACGCAGCCAGCCAGCAGCACTAAGCGGTCCCCACATTGGTTCCGTTGCTGCACTTGCCATGCCGTGCGCGTGTCATGTCCACCCCGTCCCTGTGTCCTTCCCGCGAAATCTCTCTCCCTCCGTGTCCTTCTTGCCCGCAGGCTGTGTGACGGTCATCCATCTGTCTGTGTCTTGCTAATCTGACTTGCCTGCCATACTTTGCCAAGTCGTGGATGTCTCGAGTCCCAACAGGTGGCCTTTCTCCCCGCCCTTCTGGTGCTTCATCGATCAATCCATCGATCAATCGGCCCTCAGGCTCCTCTTTCCCGCCACACCTCACTCGGTCATCCTTTTCCCCTCATTCTGCCCTTCCCCTTGCCATTCCTGCTTCCCTTGCCTTTGCCCTTCCCCATCAGTCTCTTCTTCCGCATCCTTTCCAACCGCTCGGCCCTCATGGCAGGCGAAAGCCGGTTGAGGGCCTCCTCGACCGCCCTGAAGCCGTTCGCAAACCCGTTGCCCGAAATGAAGTTGAATGGCGGCGCTGCAATCCGCACACAATGCACACGGCAACCCAGTGTGTGTGTGTGTGCGCTGCGTGCATTGCGGCGAGGGTCCAGGGAGGTGGGATGAGCTCACCGAGAGGAGGCTCGATGGGGTTGGCCGTGTCGATGATGATTTGGTAGATTTCAAACGGTGTCAGGGAGGGGTTCGCTTCAACCATCAGCTGCCCAAGACCGACTGACCGTACACACACACATACACACAAGCACAACCGCACATTGATGTGTGAGTGTGTGGGTGAGTGTGTGTGTGAGTGTCCGTGTGTCGTCTGTGTGTACAGGGCTGACCTATGTGTGGGGTGGCCGCTGAGGAGCCGAAGAAGTCAGTAGGAGCTCTAGTGGTCGACACGCGGTCGGGGCCAGCTATGTCGGGGTGTCGTGGCACAATCGGAACGATGCGATGACCTGACACATGCACACATACGCATGAATATCCACAGACATGCATGTGTCTGGGAGCACTTTCGTGTGTGCGTGTGTATCTGCCGCCCACCATTTTCGTCAAATAGAATGGGCGTGCCGCCTGATGATGAGAAGGGCTCGAGTTGAGCGGGATCGACGGGCTCAAAGTCGCATGGGTCTTGACACTGAGTTTGCTGATACAACGAGGACACACAAGACATCCAGCCGTCCATGTACGCACGTATCACCCGTCTCTTGCTGTCTGTCTGTCCTACATACGTACATTGAAAGGAGCGGTTGCCACGACCAAGGCCGATGGCGTGTTGCTGTGTCCGAAAATCGACGACCCGTTCGTCACAATCACATCCTCCCCTCTGATGTTGACGGGCAGATAGACCGCTCTTGCATCAGCATTGGTGCTGAGTAGTATCTGTATGCGCCCTGGGGCTGGCGGGGCGCCGTGGCCCACCCAGGGCCCCGACACACGCTCCACGAACAGGCGAAACACGCAGTTGGTGTCGTCCCCGTCGACACAGTTGGCATCGCCCGCGTTCTGTCAAACGTTTAGACACACACACACACACACACGGAGAGGAGGGGCGCGAATACATGTGTATGGTGGGTACGTAGTTGGGTGGGTGCTCTTGTGGTCTTACAAAGAAGAAGGCGATCTCCTGAGGGTCCTTGCTGCCCCTGCCCCACACACCCACCCACACACACACATGGGTGGGTGGATGGGTACGCGCGTCGGCCCCTCCCTCTCTGTGTGTGTCGGATTTCATGTGACCTGGTGTATCCCTGGACGAGGTTGAATGGCACCCCGCCCGTTGAAATGCCGACGGTGTTGAACGTGGTCAGGATGCCCCTGTCATCGCTGAAAGCGATGAACATGTCGAGGTCCGTCTCCGCCCCCCCGAACGGTTCATCCCACTGCAGGATGAACGTCACCTCATTGTCATTTGCCTCCGGGAAGATCTGGAACTCCAGGAAGGGCTGCACCTCATGCGGGTCGGGGTTGAAGTCGTGCAGGGGGCCGTTGTTGGGACCCGTATAGCCCGAATCCACGAATTCAGAGACATACCCTGTGGGGCCGAGGTTGCCCACACCCGTGTAGTAGGCCGTACCTGACACACACAGACAGAGCGGAGAGTAAGAACCATTTGGTGACGAGGCATTGGGTGACCTTTCCCGACAACTTCCTCGATGGCCTCGCCCGCCACTCCCAACTCAAAGAAGGGCCTGATGTTGCGCAAGGAAACATGCGAAAATGGTGAGAGCTGTGTGCCGTTTTCGTTCTCACTGACTCGTCGAAGAGAATGAGGTCATCGAACTCTCCCTCGCAATTGTGCTGCTCCTTTATAGCCCTGATTGCCTGGGCAAAGCCCGCCTGTCCGCCATCCTGCTCACACACAGAATCACACACACACGACCAAGCCGACAGACCAATGTTTCATCTGTGTCGATTGTATCGTCGCGTACGTACATTGGCCTGGGCCGAGGCGAAGGCAATGTTTGTTTCCGGCGCCACATCGAAGCAGATCTCCGAGATCTCGGCGCCCTCGTCCCGGCCGTAGTAATAGGGGAACGCGTATCTCTCCGAGTCAAAAGAGACGACGTATTTCGAAAAAGGCCCCTCCTGGTCGTCGTCGTCCTCTTCCAGGAATGGCGGCAGGTCGCCTGACGAGATGATCGCCAGTGTGTTGTTTCTGTCCTCGACGAAGTAACCGGTATCGTAATCGTAATACGGATAAGTGGTGAAGGCGTACGAGCCGCTGATTGCTCCCACGCACCTCGTGCCCGCCCCGCTCACTTCAAACGTCTTCCGCGCATTTTCGGTGGCGATCGATTGGTCTCCCTCGGTCGTCACCGAACCAACCAGCCGCCGCCGGAGGTGCCGTCCATCGTCCAACCGTACGGCACTCCCGCTCTTGTGCATCCGTGGCGTGGTGATGCTCGATATTGTCTTGAGCTCGGCAGCCTTCGGGATCGACTCGATGGGCAACTGCGCATTGATGACCGACCGCTCCGCAAAGACGGTCTTTGCACCAAGGGCCTCCAGCTCCTTGACGGTCGCGTTGAGGTGCTTGGGAGTCCAGAACTCCCTCTGCAGCTTGGCCTCGATGGCCACCCAGTCAGGTCGATACCACGTGCTGCGCAAGAGCGAGTTGGCAGCGGCGTCGCCGTAGCTGAAGGGCGGGTTGAGGACGCTTGCCTCCGACGGCACGTTGCGAGCGATTTCGTCCTCGCGGATGGTCCAGAACTTGTGCAGGAGGGACGACACCTTCGGCAGGGGAGCCGCGAGGGTGGACGCGTCCACCGGGTGCTTGAAAAAGGGCTCTCGATGAGCTGAAAGGGGGAGGCAGTGCCGATGTGCGCATACGCAGGCGTATGTATGTGTTGACCTTTAAAAGTGTGGGGTGCCCTCCCGTCCACCCACGTACCTCTGTTATTGAAGAGGCACGACTTGAATCCCGATATGGCGTGGTCGCTGTACTGCCTGGCCGTATCGACAGACAGCAGGCGACACACACGGGTGGTTGGGAAATAGGTGAAGAAGAAACACAGCTTGCTCTCAAACTGCATGAATGAACGGACCCACCACACACCCATCACACAGAGAGAGAAAGAGCAACGTGATACATGATGACGTGAACCATCGATACGTACAGCATGTCAAATCACCTGTTGGCACCTCCACTGGCAGTACTGGACAAAGTACGCCGTCTCTTTGTCCTCTTCCCACCCGTATGTGCTTGTGGTGGCCTGCAGGACCGTCCCGCTCGTCCTGTTCGTCCTGTTGGCAGGAGCCATGGCCGTGTCGCTCGTCGGCGGCCCTCTCAAGGTGGTGTCTGCCGATGGGCCCATGGCGGTGTCCATCCAGGGTGGTGAAGGGGGAGCCACGGCCGTGTCGTTGGTCGGCACTCCCTTGTCATCTGCCCGCACCCCCAGGAAGTGCATCACGGTCCTGTCGTCCATATCTTCACCCATCAGGCTGTGTGGGGGGACGTTGGCCAGCTCCCCCGTCTTGGTGATAGCGAACTCGTCGAGAATGCTGCGCTCGCCGGCAAAGGCATACTCGAAGCCTTGTTCGATGCACGGCGTGGGGTTGCCTGCCAATAACCCTGAGATCCACGCGCCACAACACAGAAGGGCAGGCAGAGTGGCCGGCCGTTGGAGACAAAAAAAGGACGAGTGTGTGGCGTACTTGTGGGAGTGAGTATGGCCATCACTGCAGTGATTGTCCTTGCGATGATCCCCATTGAGCGGCCCCCTCTTCCTGTCCCTCAGCTGCGAGCACCACAGAACCAGGTTGCGACAGCAGCACCGCCGTCCGCCCGGGTATTTCCATTGCCGCTGGGCTGGCGTGCGTATGTTCTCTGTTCCATGGCGTGCTCTGTCTGCCTGACCTCTTTGGGTGGAGAGAAACAACACCCGTCGTATAATTTCAGTCGAGAAAGCTCGCTGTAGGAGTCCCTCGTGAAACCGCTGCTGCTGTGCGAAGAGGTGTCAGCTCAGTGGTTTCAGGGAGCACCTCAGATTGCGCGCCATTGGTAGTGTGCGATTGTCAGCCTGTTTACTGCCCCGACGGCTCCACGTGACTCAACACCGTTCTCTTATCGGATATGTCGCGCCACTGGGTGATGCTTGGCCTCGTGGCTCTGGTTTGCCTGCTCAGCATCAACACAGGTGAGCTGCACGGTGGTGCAGGGCCAGACAACACGGAGACGGCAGGTGCTCACTTCACGCTGACCGTGTCGCGTGTGTGAGTGCAGTTGTGTGTGAGGGCGGTGATCTGCCTGGTGAGTCTGTGGCTGAGGTGCACCAAGATGCCCTCGACGACGAGCCAGATGATGCGCCCAAGAACAATCCGACAGACGGGTGAGAACAGAAGGCAGGGAGACAAGCAGGCAGGAGCTGTGCACTGTGGATTGGATCTGCGTGTCTGCATGGTTGTGTTTGTCAGCCCGAATCTCGATGCCATGTCTGACGAGCAGAAAGAGGTCCTCACCGAGTTGTCAGAGATCTACGAGGTCCAGGCTGAGGTCGGCAACACGCTGCCTGTCCTCAAAGAGCCCAACCCATCAGTCGACGCGCGAAAACTACGAAGAGGGGCGACTCACCCAGGACTCCCCCAAGACAATACATCCGCCGACCGGCGACAACTAGGGGGGTCTAAGAGGGGAAAGAAAGGACGCGGGAGGGGCGGAAGCCCCTGAGTCGTTGAGTGAGTGAGTGGGTCACTGACTGGCTGCCTCACTGCCTGCCTGAGTGCTCGTCCGTCCAGTCATCACCTGAGTGTCCAGTGAGTGAGTGAGTGGTGTGCCGTATCATAGGAGTGACAGTGTGTGCTGACGAAAGGCTGGCTGGACGGCTGTCCGCCCGTTTATCTTATCGCTTCTTTCAAGCGCTTTTCTTCGTGTGGCGTGCCGGTGTGTGTTGGGTTGAATGGCTGGCTGGCTGGCTGATGGGTCGATCGATCGGAGGGGCCGGATGGATTGACTGACATTTTGTGTTGTGAAATGTGACTATCGCCCGTGCACACTTACATACACACATACATGTGCTGAATGCGGTCAGTGAGTGTCTGTGGACTGACCGGTGCCTGCCTGTCTGTCTGGCTGCCCGTGTGCATGGATGTGCTTACGTGTGTGTCAAGTGGGGAGGGATGGGATGAGCCGCATTTTTGCCGTGCCGTGCCGTGCCGTGGCGTGGTGTGGTGTGGTGTGGTGTGGTGCGTGTATCGACTGCCTGGCTGACCATCTAAAAGAGGAACGTGGCGTGGACCACGCACCGGTGTGGTCACGGCTGCATATGATCCTTACACAGGGAGGGGGGACGGCCACTCAATGCTTTTTGATCCTGGGTGTTTTGTGCTGCTGGTGCGGGGAGGTCAGGCGTGTCTGTCTGTCTGTCTGTCTCGATTTCTGTCTGGGTATTCATTCGCCGTGAGTAATTAATATCGTATGCTCGATGTGATTGTCCCTTTGTATTCTGCACGGCCCTCTGTGGTCTCGTGCATTGCGTGTGTGCCTGACAGCAGCGGAGCAGCCAGGTGACGTACACACAAACACACACACACGGCAGTATGCGCATCGATATCTGCGTGCGTGCAGCACAGTGAGCCCACATGACGGATGTGACGGGTTTCTCGCTCTCTCGCTGGTTGGCTGATTGATTGGTTTCACGCTTTGTATCTGGGTGAGTGAGTGCTCGATGGTTGGTGCTGCTGCCCCTCCCCCCTCACACATGAGATGGATCTCTGCTCGCGTACACAAGTCTGCGGCAGTTTTTCAACGCGTTGATCGCCCGCCTGCTCGCCTCGCCATGCATCCATATTGGTGGATGGCTCGTGTTTCCCGCCGTGTCTGTCTGTCTGTCTGGCCGTTTCTCTTATCGTGGTCGCCCAGTACACGATGCATGGGAGAAGGTCGTATACAGTTCGTCCCGTACGTATATACGTGTGTGTGTATACACATACACACACACACACACTGAGTGCGTGTACGGATAACACATACACACATGCTTCCGAGCCGTTTAGTCGTCTCAATTTGCCCTGTCTCTTCGTCTACGTGCATGCTTTGTTCTCTCTCTCTCTCTGGCTGGCTGTGTGTGTGAGTGAGTGAGGGGCAGGTGGGCCGGGTGTTGGGGCGACCCACTATCCAGCTGTCCCTCTCTCAGTATTTGAACCTGCCGATGCAGACAGACAGACAGACAGACTGACAGACAGACACACACCCGTGTTGACACGTTGACACGTAGAGACGCACACACCGTAGGGCCACGCATTTGTGCTCGTAGGCAGCCGTGGACACAAACAGGTCAGTAAGGAGGAGTAGGGGAGTGCGTGGATGGCGTGTGAGACGTCAGTGTGTGATGTGATGTGTGTCTGCTTGTGTGTTTCCTCCGCTGTCTGGCTGTCTGTCGTGCTGTGTGGCCATTGATGCATTGCCCTGACTGACCAATTTATCAATTCGCTGACTTACTCATCCTGTGCTTGTTCGCGCGACCGTGCTTGCTCACCTCCTGATTGCTGCCCGGTGCCTCCTTGCCCGCCCCCTCTTCCCTTTAGTCCGTGTGTGCCTATGTGCTTGTCTGGTGCGTGTGCTGTGATGGTGTGACCGTCTTGGGGCATGGCCGTCTATTCATAAAGTGCCTGTTTTGTGTGTGAGGTTTGCGTGTGGTGCTTGTGTGTGGTTGCGGTGGGGTGATGAATGCATACACTTATTCATCTCCTCCCTGCCTGCCTGTTTGTGTGTCTGTCTGCCTGCCTGCCTGCATGATTGCCGCATTCATCCATTCACCTGCGTACACGTGTATATACGTCTGTCCGTTGCGCCCATTCATCCGTTGGCATGGCCTGTTTTCGAGGCACCTAACGTTTGGCTGCCGCGCTGCTTTATGCGTGCTGCAAGGGGGAGGGAGAGAGGGGCGCACGAGGGAAGGGCGGCGTGTATGTAGTGTCGGTCGGCGTTGCGTACATGCATGTCTTCTTATGCCATTTACACACCCCAAGACGGCATACCATCACATCGGTATGCCCGTCCCGTTGAAATGTGAACGCCTGTCTGCCTGTCTGCTGATTTTCGTGTCGAGATGCATGTGAGTGGATGATGACCCGTTTGCCGCCCCGGACCGCGCGCCATGCTTCACACGAGCAGCACAGCAGAGAGGACACACTCACGAGACATGTGTCAGGTCGTCGGTCGGTGGCCGGTGTCGGTTGGTGCGTG